CTAGAGTCCCAGTGAGGTAGAGGCTCGCTCAGACGAAAAAAACGCTCGAAGTATTGGGTTGGCAAATAATGGCGTTTTTTCAATTGAACCAGGTGAGGAAAGCGTACCAGGTGAGGAAACCTTGGAAGGGGGCCAGCTCACACCGCCACATCACGATGCTGTACTCTGGGCACAACATCAAGAATGGGTAGTCTCGCTCCAAATCGGGACAAAAGTCGAACTACTAAGGGAGTACTTACCATAGCGTTTTGAGGACGGGGAATTTCTTGAAGAGATAATCACGAGCGCGCTTATCTGTCCAATCCAAGTATGGAATCATCCTCAAACAATTTTGGAGAATTTTCAAGCTGTTGATGAACAAAGAAGCATAGGAAAACATAAGGCCATAAACAAAAGGCATAGGAAAACATAGGGGCAGAGATGTATTTACGCTTTAGTCTCCAATTCTGGGCCGACTTCTCGACGTCGCACTTGATTAGACACAATCCACAACTGAAATGGGATAAAACGTTCTGAATGTGCTTGACGAAAAGACTTCATATTCACACTCACCCTAGTGAAAAATTCGCCAGCGTTATCACCACCACACTCTTGTGCTTCTTTGCGTACTCTATAGAAATATTGCAGTTTGTCGTACAGACAGGGATGATCTTTCTTTATATATTGGCTAGTAGCCAGCCATTTGAAATAGGCCTATAACGAACATACAGTTATCGAGAGCGTGGGAATCGCGTCAGGTGAATCGGGTGTGTGACAAGAGGATCGCAATTCACCGCGCTGTAGGCGTCGCGTGCGACGTCGCGCCGCAAATGACGATGGTTCCAGGTAGTAGATGGCGACAACAGGCAATTCAGAACCGAAATAGTCATGAATGTCTACGATGACGGGGTCTACATGAAGTCCGGTGCTCCAATCGACAGGTTCAACACGAGTTAAGAAAGGTCACGCGCGGCGGAACGGCGAATTACGATTCTCTTGCCCTTCTTCCAGGTAGCGAGGAACCTTTGCCTCCGATGTCAGGGCCCAGATCGAGGATCCATCTGGGTTCCATCAAACTTCGTGGAGGTATCGAACACATGTAATCAGCTCTTGCTCAATTATTCAGGTTTTTAGATGCTATGGACCCGAATAAATGGTACCCAGATTTGTCCACGAGGAGAGATGTAATGGGACTCACGTCCGCAAAATTCTGAGGTGCGCAGGGCTCACTTCAGCATTTTGAGAAATGCTAAGGGGCGTTTCGACAGGGCTCATTTTTTTCCAACTTCTTACCGTTTTCCAAAATTTCCCGCGCAAGCTTTATAGTTTACAACCAAAATTTCAATGTTTAGTGAGGGGTGAGGACATACATAGCACATCGTGAGAAGCCGGAAAAACCTATACGACTTGCAAGTCACTCCTCAGAGAAGGGTGTATTTAACTAAGTAACGAGCCCCTTTCTAGGAGCGACAGCAAGTACAACCCCACCGCGCTCTACAGTGTGGATGTGGGAACCCACGATAGCGGACGGTAAATGTCAGCTATCGCAAAATCCTTTGGTCAGATTCGACCTCGATCCTCCCTCTAGTGGACCGAATGCCACCTTCCGGTAGGGGACTCCCCCAGTGCACGACGTGCTCTGTTTGGTACAAGTCTCGCTTCCATGGAAATGTCCACTTGTGGGAACATTGGATCTGAATGCTCCCTCATTCAGCTACAATTCGACATCCTACTGCACACTACCCTGGCAAGCTTGTGAGTAATTGCAAAATGTGCCTTTAAGGGAAGCATAGTGCGGGTAAAGCTAGAGTGAAGCCAAGGTAAAGGTAAGGGTAAAAGCTTCCGCCTAGAATCATCATCATTTTGGGATGCGGCATAAGTTCCATCTCTATTGACAAACGTAGTTGCATTCGAGTGCGAAGTGGCCCATACATTAATTTGGGGGACCAAGCGATGTACAAGGTTGTGTTTCCCATGCTCCCAGACGAATTCGCTACAAATTTACCGTCCCTGGAAAGTCAGAGGTTTTGTTGACCTGGTGGAGAGCCGATTCTGATCCCTGGACGGGCCCATTGTCACTATACCACCTCCACCTGGCATGATGAAAATGTGCATAAATAAATCAATGAATGAAAATCCAAACTAGGTTGTAGCCATAGGAAGGAATCTCGCGTTCCGTCAGGAATTTGTCGAGGTATCGGAAATCATCCTTGGTCATGTGAAAGAGCTGATTCATAAGAGCAGTCGTATCGACTGAAATACAAAATTGCAAGAAAATTCCATGAAAGTGGTAAAGTTATACTCAAATAATAAATATAATAAAATATGTCCAAAGTACGTGCTTCTTCGACGGCCTGAGGCAGACGGCAAGAGGAGTAAGACGGAGAGCAGTTGTGCAATCATTGCAGTGCGATCGTTGTTTAGCTGGGAACTGAAAACACCTCACATTAGCGCGACGGTAAAAATTTCCCTGGAAATGGCCACTCTCGTCATCC